ATGAATACACGTTCCATACATTTTTTTAAAAAGAGCAAATGGAAAGTGAGGAGGTAGACACACAGTGAGTTGACAACTTTTTCGAGAACTTTTGCTGTGCATGGAGTGGAGAAATTGAATGGTGGCTGGGAAAGGATGTAGGGTGAAGGGAGGGTTGAAGATGGGGATACAGAGAATATTCCAGATCGACACATACTTAACAGCAGAGGAAAGACGAGACGATTGAAGAAGCAGAGTTCTTGGAGAAGTGAGGGCAAGGGGTGCGGAGAGGGAGGAGAGACTGGCCAATGATGGGCAGAGGTCTGTGCTTCCATCGTAACAGGAGGGAAGAAGGAGCAGCCTTAGGCTGGGGTAGAGCCTTGTGGGTGGGCAGACAAGGGAGTTCCCATCTCCTGGCCTCTAGTTCCTCACTGAAGTGTGGGAGGTAAGGTTATCTGCTGCCACGGAGCGGTGGCAGCACATGGGAGGTTTGAGAAGAGAGGACAGACAGGGTATGGGAAAGACAAAGGGACTTTACTAGGGAAACGGGAAAGGACAGCCTGGCAGTTATTGAGGGCCCATTTAGGGTCTGTAATCACGAATTTAAGTGAAAGCAAGAGGCCCAGTTTGGTGATTTTTCTTGAGCAAACCCAGCTCCTTGGCCGCAGGTGCAGAGAAGACAGAGTCAAGTGCAATGAGGGTGATTGTTGTAGCAAACAGTGGTTCTCAATGTGTGGTCCCCGCACCAGCAGCATCAGAATCTCTGAAAACCGGTGAGAAATGCACATTCTCAGACACCACCCAGAACTCCTGAATCAGAAACTCTGGGAGTGGGGCCCAGCAGTGTGTCTCACCAAGCCCTCCAGGAGATTCTGATGCTCCGCCCAGTCAAGTCTGAGCAGCACTGCAATAAACGGAGAAAGGAACAAGACAGCTGAGGATACTTACATGGGACGATTATAATGGCAGACTAGAGAATCTAAATTGAAAAAGAAGGGAAGTAAAGACATGAGGAGGCTGATCAGTACTGATAAAGTGGTGGGTCAATATCTCAGAACGTAATAAGGTCAAATGATTGTAGCACAGTATATTCATTTATATTGCTGTCATAAGAAAATACCAAACATTTAGTGGCTTGGAGCAACACCCATTTATTACCTCATATTTCTGGAGGGCAGAAGTCCAGGAGCACCTTGGCCGGGCGTGGTGGTTCATGCCTGTAGTCCTAGCACTTTGGGAAGCCAAGGTGTAAGGATCACTTGAGGCTAAGAGTTTGAAACCAGCCTGGACAACATAGTGAGATCCCCCCTCTCTACAAAAAAAAAAAAAAGAAGTCCAGATACAATATCGCTCATCTGGACCCGCTGTTTAGAGTCTCTCAAAGGCTAAAATCAATGTGTTGGCGGGACTGCATTCCTCTCTGGAATCAATCTGCTTCCACGCTTATTCAGGTTGTTGGCAGAATTCAGTTCCCTGTTGTTGTAGGGCTGAAGTGCCCATTTCCTCTTCAGCTGTCAGCCAGGAGCCTCTGTCACCTTCTTAAAACCACTTGCATTCCTTGTCATGTTGTCTCTTCCACCTTCCAACCAGCAAGGGCACTTGGAGTCCTTTTAACACCTCAAATCTCTCTGACTTCCCCCTTCAGCCACATCTCTTCTGCTTTACTCTTTTATTGCATCTTTCTGACTCCAGCTGGGGAAAAGTTCTTGACTTCTAAGGACTTGTGTGGTTAGATTGGACCTAACTGGATAAACCAGGCTAATCTACCTATTTTAAGGCCTGTAACCTTAATTACCTCTGCAAAGTCCATTTTGCCATGTAAGGTTACATAATCACACGTTCCTGGGATTAGGATGTGAACATCTTTGGGAGACCTTTATTCTGCTTCCAACAACATGAAGTGACTAGAACAAGTGAGCTAGAGAAGGTGGAGAATTTAGAGGTGGTGAAGATTCTGGTGGTAAGGTCCAGGGTGTAGCCACAGGAATGGAGAGGAGTGGAGAGAATGTCATTGGCAGCTAGAATGCCAAAGAATTGAGAGCCCTGGATGTTGGAGTCATTGACGATTATACAGCTGGGGTGGACAGAGAGGCTATAAACGAGGAGCTCACGTTGTCATCAAGAAGTTTTAGTCTCCCTGACCATCAGAATTACTTGGGAAGCTGGGTACACATGCATGCTCTGGAGCCCCCACCAGCAATCCTGAATCACATTCTTTGGCGGTGTGACCCACACTTTTGATGATAATGAGGTTAGGAGCTACCACTGCAGGCAAGGAGAAGCCATTGAAGTTAGATAATGGTCTTAAAACGGGGATATCAAGGGGTATGCACGTATGGACAGTTTGAGAGGATTAGTTTAAGGGGATCTTTGACTTCCATAGGTACTTTTGCCCAAAATTGACCTAAGGATGCACCTTCAGTGTCTACCATCAAGCCTGTTGTCCTTTCTCACCTCCTTTTTCAAAATCCTCCTTCTCTTTACAAAAGAAAGGAATCTGGAAGACAAGGCCCTTTACAACAGGCTGCGGCAGGAAAACATGCACTTTGAGGTCTGCCCCTGGTCCAGCTACCTCACTGGTGCCTGGAAGCCGGAAACGGAGCACGCGGTCGTTCGGCTAACTACTCGCTCAACACAGATGACCCACTCATCTTCAAGTCTACCCTGAACACCGATTACCAGATGACCAAACAAGACATGGGTTTTACCGAAGGGGAGTTTAAGAGACTGAACATTAATGCGGCAAAGTCCAGCTTCCTCCCAGAAGATGAGAAGACAGAACTTCTCGACCTGCTCTATAAAGCCTATGGGATGCCAAGTTCAGCCGCTGCAGAGAGGCAGCACCCCTAAAGATGCCATGGCCACCTCTCCAAGCCCTTACCCTGTGGAGTCTTTACAACTCTGTGGCATCAAGCAACATTTGCATTTATTCCTTCCAAGAAGACTGATTTCAATGGTCAGCTACTACTGCTCTTGAAGCCCGTGTGCCTGTTTCTGTACACACATATACCTCGGCATGGCCACATCTCTCCTCTGATTATGTGCCCTTCTCAGGGACCAGGGCCCTTGCTGGTGGGCGTGGCTGAATCTGAAACCCTCCTTCTATGGCAACTTGTACTGAAAATCTGGTGCTCAATAAAGAAGCCCATGGCTGGTGTCATGCAAAAAAAAAAAAAAATTGACCCAGGATATTAAATTGATCCAGGATATTAAAAATTCATCTCTTTAAACAGGATACCTAGAGTAGGCTTCCTGTCTTATACATATTTCTGTTAAATTTGAATCACATTGGAAATGGAATAATTTGGCACATGTTGAGATGTTAGATATGTTGTAGAATGGGACAGAGGAATTATGATGAGCTTTATTCCTTCTGCCATTTCCAGGCTACTGTGAAAGAACACATTGCTTCCAAGACAGAATCCTATCAGGCAAAACAAAGAGAAGTTCAGTAGGAAATACTGAGTGTGGCAGCATCTTATATCATCCAGGAACAAACTCAGGGCAAGGCTCTCTGCCCCTTCTAGCTAATCAATTTAGAACTAGACTTCAGGCAAGAGACAGGAAACGCACATTTATTCAAATTGGAAAACGAAGCCTGATCAGCTGATTAATTTGATAATAAGGCTGGTTTCATCAATTTGGTTATATGGCAGACATTTTCCTAAGTTGAATGAGTCAATTCTGTAGCTCCAAGGTTTTGACAAATTATATTTAAAGCCCATAGTAGATACAGCACTTTATTTTTTTTTAAATTATATTGGCAAGGTATATTAAAATTAATATTTTTATGTTCCCAATTATTTTCTGAGTATATTGGGCTAAATATGGTGTCTCTATATGAACGAATAAAAGATATAAGTGATATTAATTTGTTAAGTCTTGGTAAGACCTTTCTTGGTATGCATTTTCAGAAATTGACGAGTAAATGAGTCTAACTGGGTAACAAATCATTTTGAAAGTCAGGTGCTTTTCAATTCTTTTGATTTCAACAAAACTGAAATTGAGTTGTCAGCTGACAAGTTACTGAATTTTTTTTTTTTTTTTTTTGAGACAGGGTGTCTCTCTGTTGCCCAGGCTAGAGTGCAGTGGCAATATCATAGCTCACTGCAACCTCAAACTCCTGGGCTCAAGTGATCCTCCTGCCTCGGCCTCCCGAGTAGCTGGAGCTACAGGCACACACCACTACACCTGGCTAATTTTTCTTTTTTTTGTAGAGACGGGGCCACTATGCTTAGCCTATAGCTAATTTTTGATAACAGACTGCTTTGTGATTTGGGGCATGTAACTCAGAAGGGGTTCAAATAATTGAGAAAATCTGCAACAACAAAACTCCGTCCAATCTCATCTTTTTATTTATGTGAAAAAGGTAATATTTAACCACCAGTACGTGGACTAATAAAAACATGGTCCTGGCCAGAAGCAATGGCTCATGCCTGTAATCCTAGCACTCTGGGAGGCCAAGGTAGGAGGATTGCTTCAGGTCAAGAGTTTGAGACCAGCCTGACCAAGAGCAAAACCCCATCTCTACTAAAAATAGAAAAATTAGCCGGGCACGGTGGCGAGTGCCTGTAGTCCCAGCTGCTCCGCAGGCTGAGGCAGGAGGATCGCTTGAGCCCAGGAGTTTGAGGTTACAGTGAGCTGTGATGACACCACTGCACTCCAGCCAGAGTGACAGAACTAGAGTCTGTCTCCAAAAAAAAAAAAAAAAACCTACACATTCCCATCCACCTCATTAACAAAGATATTTCTACTAAAACTTAACTTTTCATATTTAATAATTATTTCTTATAATTATTAACCCTTTCTGGGGCTCTGCTAATGCTGGTACCCATCCATCTCAGTCCTTTGGGGGACTTGCATGTTTGAAAACCTACTGATTAACCCGTTGAATCTCTAATTGGTCTAATTGGTAGGTCTTCCTGGCTTCCCTTCCACAGGCCGACACGTCCTGCCCTAGGACTTGACTGGCTCAGACAGTTACAGGGGATGAGGACGGGAAGGGAAAGCTGAGCAGGGTGTCAGCTGCACAGCTGCCCTACGCTGTTGTTCGGGAAGCTTCGGTGCTCTGATCCAGCATTTGTGCCCTTCTTGACCCAAGGCAGGCCCAGAGCTCCCGAGCAGCGAAAGAGCAGTATGTGCCGGAAGAGCAGCCGCTGATCCACTTCACTCTTCCCACCTCTGAGATGTCTGGCTGCTCCTACAACATGTGGGTGGCGCTGTGAGACGGAGACAAATGCCCTGCTCAAAGAATATACCACCTCTTTCATTCACTTGGATATCTCACCTTTTAACTCAGGAAGGCTGTCTGGATACAGCATCGATACTCCCAGTATCTTCTATGTTGTGGGTGCAGAGAAAGCATCTGATGATTGAGTGAATGAATGAATGCACAAACAAATGACTACACGGTTTCCCTAACTTCCAGTTTTTTAAGACTGTCACTATAGAACGTACCACTTTTTAAATATGCGTTCATTTCCTGCCTTGGTCCAGGCCCTTGTAACCTTTTTACCTGTACCCTTCACCCAGCCCAAAAGAGTCTCAGCAAAATCTTAGGAAGGTAAGGGAGTGAGACAGGGAGGTGACTGAGAGAAGAGCACTCTAAGCAGAGGGGACTAAGGCAGGAGTATGTCTGGCATGTTGGAGGAATGACAAGGAGACCCGCGTTGCTGGAGCAAAGTGAGTGATGGCACGAGAACAATAAGAGATGGGGTCACAGGTGGAGGCTGTGGGTCAGATCCTGTAGGTCGTTAGCAGGACTTTGTCTTTTAGTCTGAGTGAAGCCAGCTACCGGAGGGTTTTGAGCTGAAGAAGGACCTGATCTGACACATTTTAAAAGAATCCCTCTGGCTCCTGTGTTGAGAATAGACTGGTAGGGGGTGGGGACAGGCAGCTGAAGAAGCAGAAGTCGTTAGGAGGCAGTAACCCAGGCAAGAAGTAACTAATGGAGGCTCTGATGAGGATGGTAGCAGTGAAGTTGGTGACAAGTGTTTGGATTAGATTCTGGATATATTTTGAAGGCAGAGCCAACACGATTTCCTGACAGATTAAATGTGGGAGGTGAGAGGAAAAAGTAAAGTCTGACTCCCTGGTTTTTGTCTGAGCAATGGAAGAATGGTGCTCTCATCAACGGAGATGGGGGAGGCTGTGGTGGAATAGTTTAGGGGAGTTAAGATCAGGTGTTCAGTTTGGGGCATGTTGAGCTGGAATTGTCTTTTAGGTATCCAAATGGAGATGTGAAATAGACAGCCAGATAAATGACTGGGGAGAGAAGTTGGGGCTGGGTCTCACAGCGTCTCATGCTTTAAATATATCCTCATTGATGTCTCCAAAATCAGCTCTGACTTCTCTCCTAAACTTCAAGTTCTTACATCCAACTGCCTACTTGATTTATTCACTTAGCTTTCTAATAGGCATCTCAAATTTAACATGTCCAGAACTCAATTCCTAATCCCCTGTCTTCCTCCACAAAACACCAACAAACAAACAAACAAGAAAATTCAACAGCAATTCCATTCTTCCCAAACCTTTGAGTCATGTTTGACTCCTTCCTTTCAAACTTCACATTCAAACCATCAACAAATCCAGTTGAATCCATCCCCAGGCTGTCCTTACCACTCACACCACTGCACCCTGCTCCAAAGCAGCACTCATCTCTTGCCTGGATTACTGTAACAACCTCTGAACTCTGGCAACAACCAAACATGAAAGCTGGTAGGCCCCACAGAACGTGGGCCCACCACTTATAATTCGCTTCTCTACTCACATCCCCTTTCACTCCTCCTGGCTCACCCAACTCCTGTAACACTGGCCTCAATATGCCAAGACACTCCTGCCTCAGGGCCTTTGCACTTACATTTCCTTTGCCTAGAAAGCCCTGTCCCCAGATTTGCAAAAGGGTTGTGCCTTCACTTCTTTCATGTCTCTGCTCAAATGTCACCTTATCAAAAAGTTCTACTTATCAAACAAACCTACTTGAACCTTACTTTACTTTAAGATGAAGCCAACTATGGCCTTGGAGGTTTTTTTTGGGCGGGGAGGGACCTTCTGTATGGAGGGAGACTCAAATCCAGGCTCTACTCTACAAAAAAAAAGTACCTCCAATCTCTCTTATCTTACTTCATTTTTCTCTGTTGCACTTATCATTACCTGACATATATGTATACATAATACATATTTATTTGTTGTCTGTCTCCCCTAACTAGAATGTAAGCTCCATGGTAGCAGAGACTTTGTCTTGTTCAATTCTGTATCCTCAGTGCTTGGACCAATTCCTGGCACATACTAGACATTTGTTAAACATTTGCTGGATGAATGAATGAATGAATAAATGGATGAAGCATGGCTTCTCTAGAGCTGGAGAGTTAATCATGACACCAGAAATTGGCCAGGGAAAAGAGATCTCAGCATGAACATAACGTTTATGAGACAACACCACTACCATATACATCCGTACCCACACTCACTCTCTCTCTTTCTCACACACACACACCAATAACCTGGAACCCATGCAAGCACACAACAAAGGGAAATGATGAAGTGTGCCTGTAGGGTGGAAAAGTATACAGCCATTAAAAACACTAATTATAAAGACAGTAAAATGCTTATAGTATGTTATGGAAAAGTAGTACAGTAGATTGTAAAATAGAACAGTTCTTAATATATTATTACGTACTATACTGCTAGGATCACAGCAATGCAAAATGTGTACACATATTAATTTTTGTGATATTAAAAGCAAAATTAATTATTATGTTAGGCCTGTTAGTGGGATTATGGGTAGTTTTATAATCTTCTATTCTTCACAATTAAAAAAAAAAAACTTGTATTCTCTTTTTCCATAAAAGGAACACATTTTAACTCCCCAGGCACATTGGTTGAGGAAAATCCCAGGCTGGTGAAGTCAGCACCTAAGTTCCCCAGAGACTCCCATGTGTGGGTGACAGAGGGGTCCTGGGCCAGTCCTGTGCAGAGAAGGGCTGCCCCTCGGGCTGAAACCGAGTGGTTAGTGAGGCATAGAGCATTTGCATGACTAACGTGGGGGAAAAAACCCACCAGAGAGTTATTTCTATTTAAGCTCAGAGAAATGCAGAAGTAAATCTACTTGAACCTAACTTGGCTTTAAAACGAAACCAACTGTGTCCCTGGAGTTTTGGGGGGGCCTTCTGTAAGAAGGGAAAGTCAAGTCCAGGCTCTAGTGACCTTCACTGGGGAGCCAAACTCTCCCACTAAGTCCCAGATTTGGGGACTTTGGGCCCTCAAGGGGACCTCAGTGTTAGTGCAAAGAGTTCTGAACCCATAAATGCAAGGAGTGTTGACTTGAGACCAGCATTTCTTAACCAAACTAAGGTTTAGAACTCTTTGGTAATCACAAAAACTACAGAACTTCATCCCAGGAAAACTGAACATAAGCCCAAAAATTTGAAACAATTTCAGGAGTTTCGTGGACCCCCTAAATCCTATCCACTGCTAGTTGTCCCCACACCCCAGATTAAGAATCCTGATAGACCTGAGTAAACACAACGTCTTACATACAATACGTATGCTATTTTTCAAGTCTGTTGATAGAATCGTGATAAATAAATACAAATTATTTGAAAGAAATACTCAATTCAGAGACTTGCTGTTGTTATGCATGTTCTCCAGAGGAGCGGTAAACGCTTCTGCAGGCCCAAGGAGCACGTTTTCAAATGGGTCCCTTAGCCCGGCAGCAAAGCCGTCTTCCAAGTGACCGAGAGGGGTCCTGCACTGCTGGGCGCCGGCCTCAGGACTGCGAGGTCGGAGGATCCCGCGGGAGCCGGCTCAAGCTTTTCGGAGTTTTTTCACGGAAATGTTCAGCCACTTGTTGGCTCACGTGCACTTAAGTTTTATTCTCCAATTATGACCGGGTTTTCCAGACGTGGATTGTCAGCGCGTGTGCCAAGAGTTACCAGCGTGCTCCCAGGCGCTAGGCGCAGTCACCGAGGCACTCCGGTCGCATCCCGCAGCCGAGGGCCCCCGCGTGGGTGGCCGGCCCCCGCGGCGGCTATCCGCGGAATGCCCTGCCCGCGAGCTCCCTCTCCTGGGCGCGCCCCGGCGCCGTCGCGGCTCATGGCCCGGACCTGCGGAGCGCACTGCGTGCAGCCCTGTGCAGGAGCCGCGCGCTGTGCCCCGCGGCGGCCGGGGCGCGGTGGGGCTCGGGCTCTGGACCGGCACCTGCCGCGGCTGTGCGGCCCCTGGACAACGGATGAATGAATGGGGAGACAGTGAGGGGAGGCGCGCAGAGCCCAGCCAGCCCATTCCCCCTCCCTGACGTCTCCACGACCGTCCTTCCCACCCCCTCCTCCTCCCCCCATCCCCTGAGGTGCCCTTTAACCTGGCTCTAGGCGACCCGAGCTGGCTCAGTACGCGACTCATCAGACACCAGTATCTGGCACATAACACATATGTGCACATCTGCTGAATAAATAAAAGATTTTACTTTTTATGTACGAGCGGGGTCTGTTTCAACACTTCCCACAGTGGGCCCCTTGTTAGGAGAGGCACCGTCAGTGGTGTGCGGAGTGGGAAGGGGGACAGCTGGGGAGGTCGAGGGAAACGGGCGGGCCCGGAGAGCAGCTTCGGAGTGAGCTGCGAAGTCAGCGCCAAGACGGGTCCGGACGCAGAGACTCGGTGCGTGGCATTCGGCGCTGACGGCCAAAACGGCGGGCCGCGGCGGCAGCCCTGTGCGGGCAGCGTGGAGGGGCAAGGCGTCCTGGGGACAAGGAGGTGGAAAGACCGGAAAAGGAGAGCCCGGAAGGGGCAGGGTGCACCCGACGGCAGGGTAAAGGCGGGGCTTCACCGGTTGCTAGAGACGTGGAGCCCGGGAAGCTAAAGGCCTCAGGGGTCCAGGACAGACGGATGCTGGTCCCAGGGGTCCCGAGTCCTCGGCATGGACAGAGCAACACGTCCACCCGGGCCCGGAGGACAGAGACCAGGAAGCGAGCGCCCCGCAGCCCTGCCCCAGGCTTCCCAGGTCTGTAGGACACGGGCCGCCTGCAGGGGGCGAGATGTTCCTTTGGCTCTGCTGGGCTGCGGCTAAGACCAGAACCAAAGATAGAAGCTGAGATCAACGGAAAGGAATGAGACTGAGCAGACATATGCCTGTAACCCCGATGGGACCCGGAGTAAAGTAACATTCCCAAACACGGCAGTAAGGGAAGGGTTAGCCATGTAAGGAATGCTCGGAGAAATGAATGAAAATTTGGTGGAAAAACTGTAAATTGCACATCGTATATCAAAATAAATTCCAAGTGGATTAAAATGACAAATATTTTAAAGGACAGTCATAGAAACATTGTGTTTGATGGGATAAAACAGTTATATTTATGAATAAATCTCAGCATTCTCAAAGATTTGAAACAACAGAAGGAACAACAAAGGAAGACTAACATTCAAAAATATAAAAACTGGAAAGGATTTTAAAAAGACAACAACTTGAGAAAAATGCCTGCACCAAATAACAAACAAATACTACCTGAGACATATAAAGGCTTGTTTATATATTTTATATGAAAACAGTCAAGGTACCAATAGCTAAATAGACAAAGGAGGTAAATACGTGCTATAATTGACAAGGGAGAAATAAAATTAGTACCCAAATACATGGGGAAATGTTCATTGATAATCAGAAATTTTAAACTTAAAACAACCTTGACATAGCAACTTACATCTACTAAATGTTTTAGAATTATAATGTATAATATTAGCACGTGGTAAAATAATAGTCACCATAGCTTCATACTCTTTTGAATAGCTATATGGTGATCTTCATTTATTCAACAAATAGCTATTGAGGAGTTCCTACCCCAAATCAAACACTGCTTTATAAACTCTCATTGTAATGGAGGGAATCAGACAATAAACAAACAAATACACACGATGCAAGGTGCTAGCAGTGCTAGGAAGGAAAATATTAATAGAACAGTTGAGTGATGGGATGGGCTAATTAAATGTGGCCTCTCTGGTGGGATGACATCTGAACAGAGCAACATAAACAAAATGAAGGAGCAAATCTCCTTTGCACTTGTGGGAAGTGTTCTGGGCAGAGGAAACAGAAACTACAATGACCCAGAGGCAAGAGCGTATGACTAGTAGAGCACCAACTGATTGCTCTCACTGTGTTGCCCAGGCTGGACTCAAACTCCTGGTTTCAAGCAATCCTCCCACCTCAGCCTCTTGAGTAGTGGGGATTACAGACCTGTGCAACTGCAGCTGGCTGATTGCCTTTTAACCATGCACACAATAATCATCCTCCTCCACCCTTTTTTTTTTTTAGAAACAGGTTCTTGCTCTGTCACCCAGGCTGGAATACAGTGGCTTACTGTAGCTTACTGTAACCTCAAACTCCTGGGCTCAAGTGATCCTCCCACCTCAGCCTCCCAAGTAGCTAGGACTGCAGGTGCCTGGCTAATTTTTTTTTTTTTTTAAAGATGGGGTCTTGCTATGTTGCCCAGACTGGTCTTAAACTCTTGGCTTCAAGCAATCCTCCCAACTTGGCCTCTCAAAGTGCTCGGATTATAGGTGTGAGCCACCACACCCAGCCCACAACGGTAATACTTTGAAGAAATTTTGTAATTGACTTACTTTGTATACATATTAAGACCATGACGACTCCATTAAGCTGATGTGATAGTCAAATATCTGTTAGTAATATTGTATCTTAACCAAACTAACAAAAACATAGCCTTTGTGGAAGGTGACATTGCAAAAAGATTGCTTTGCCCCACCCTCTTCCCAAAGCCAGAATCTGCCAAACAAATTTATTTATTATTTATTTATTTTGGTCAACCCCTTGGTCAATTGCATATAAAATGTTACATCTTCATTTCTGTATGCTCAGTCATTTTTCTAAATAAAGAATCTAAAGACATGAATTATTGTCACAGTTTGGAAAAGCAGTCACCAAAGTAAAAGCAAAAAGTCTTGAGTGGGTTTATCCACTTTTGTGGTTTTAAACACCATCACTGTTCTAATGAGCCTCAAGTAAATCTCTAACCCGAACCTCAGCCGTGGACTCCAGACTCAAACTTCCATCTGTCTACTTGACCGCTCCACGTAGATGTCTACTAGGCATCTCAGATTTAAATGTCCAAAATTTACCACCTGTTCTCCGTTCGCCCTCCCCAAAACACACATACACAACGTAATTTCTCTAACAGTTAATAGCAAGTCAATATTTTCATCTGCTTAGAACTCAAAACTTGAAGTCATCATTGACTCCTCTGTTTCTTTTAAAAGGTAAATCAGATCTTGTGGGTGCTCTACTTAAAACCTTCCCATATCTCCCCATCTGTCAGATATAAAAGCTAAAGTGCTCACTATACCCTCAAGGCCCTAGGTGAGCTGCCCCATCACCCCTCTGACCTACTCTCCCTTCCATCACCCCTCTGGGTCAAACTAGTTTCCTTGCTGTTCCTCAAACACAGCAGGCACATGCCCACCTCAAGGCCTTTGGATTTGTCCCCTCTGCCAGGAACGATCTTCCCCTCCATACTCATGCATGGTCCATGCCTCAGTTCATTCAGGTCTTTACACGAAAAAGCCAAAGCAGCTTTCTCAGCGAGGCCTTCCCAGTACAACCTATCTAAAGCAAACAAACAAAAAATTCCTCACTTTGAATTTTCTACTTTATCACTATCTAAAGTTATATGTTTGATTTGGTGTCTGTGGATAACATATTACACCTCTTAATCTTAAAGTCTCTGAACCCTCCTCTCCAATGACCTTTGCCCTTCTTACTGCTTGGGCCACTCATCCCCTTGGTCACACTCTGAGCCCTGTCTTCACCTAGAAGTACTATACTCTCTGACAAAAGCCCATTCTCCAAACATAGCCACCTATTCTTGCAGCTGTCCCTTCCTTATCTCACTACATCCTGTGTCCCTTCATCCTTCCATCTTCTTGTCATCACAGACTGCTGGGCAGTGTAGGGGAAATGCCATTCCCCTGTGGACTGGTGCCAGGGTCTTCAGCCCCTGACATCTGGACTCTGTCTCTACTATACCCCCGAAGCCGCTCTTTCCAGTGTCTCTGGAAACTTCCCTGTTGCTAAACCAGAGGGATTCCTCAGTGTTTATCTTCTTAGTCCTCTCCTCTATGTTGACCTCTTCTTCACTCTTGAGATCCTCTTCTCGTGGGGCTACTGAGGTGCCTGTTACCCCTCATTTTCTTCTATCTCCTGGGATGCTGTTTCTCCTTCTTCCCCCATAAATGCTGCCCCCAGGGTTCTGTCTTGGTGTACATCTCCTTTCATTTTACAAATTCTTCTTGAATTATCTCACTCACACTCAAGGTTTCAATAACCACCAAAATGCCAATGACGTCCAAATCTAAAACTTGGACTTTGCCCATTGGATGTGACCACTAGCATGTGCCTTGGGGGCCTTAAACTCCATGTATACAAAATGGAACTTTCTATTCTCTAATCTGAATTCCCCTTCCTCTTCACTAAAACAGCATGCCCTGTGGGACATGATAGAATATATATTAAGACCAACAGATACTGCCTGTCCTCTGGACAGAAAAGGCAACTTGAACAGTACCCATCGCTACTAATTTAAGATGTATTAAAATATCCAAAAAATTCCTTTTATTCAGCAAGTTGGTGAATGTAAAAGCACTTATAGTCCTATTTTCCCCTTCAAGTCTTGAGTTGCTCATTTATGAATTGTCCTCCCATAGATGATTTTTAGGCCAGGCTGTGCCTGGCCATCTGCCCACCTTGGATGGACAGTAGACATGAGTCACAGAGTGTGGAGCAGTTGTCCAGGTAAGCAGGTACAGTGTATTTCTCTGCATGTTTAGATATGGATTTCGCTTTACTGCAGATATGAGGCTTGCTGTAAGGAGAGGTTGGGTCATGTGTAAAGCTGAAAATAGGTAGGAGACCCAGAATGTCCTCTGAGGACGCTCCAGGAAAGTGTCTAGGTTTCTGGGTCTCATATCGCCTCCTGAACTGTGGGCCCTCAGCAGCGGGTACCAGGTCTTCTATAAATGGACTGAGAGTTTTCTGGAAAGGGAGATGCCAGCTCTGGTAACGGAGTTTCCAAAACTGGCTAAGGGAAAAATAGTCACTATTGACACAGCCCCTCTTGGGTACCACTGTGACTGAGGGATACAGAGTGATCTGAGGGCTCAGGATGAACATAGTTTTGGAGAACATTAATTTAACCTACTCAGTTGGTCATGTGCAAAA